CCTCTTCAAAGATAAAATCTCGCTGGCCTACCACAACATGAAAGACCAGTCATTCGTTAGATCAAAGAATAAGTAGTCTGTAATTATTTCACCATCCGTGTTGTTCGCGTGCAGTAATAATATGGTTGTTCTTAGAATGATGACGTGTTCCAGAACATCAATAAAAGATGTTTGACATGATTTTATTGAGTGCTAACATAGAACACACATAATAATAGCCTACAGACTACAAAATGTTAGAAATCATCCTGTCAGTACTGAAGATGAACCTAGATGATACATGTATCTGTGAGTGTGCACTCTAAACATAGGTGAAAATGAAGTACTGGAATTGACTAGAGTAAGGAGATCACCGCACAAATGAATAGGAATATGAAAGGTAATGATGACTCTGTTCCACCTGCAGTATCTTCTGTGAGGTCCAGACTGACCAAGGCTCAAATGGTTCGTTGGTTCGTATTGCAAGTGAATAATTTCGCCACTGTCTGTATTCGAGGTATTCTCACCGTATTCGAAGGATTCATCGAAATATAGCTAAATTATTCTAGCGTAAGACAAAAAAGATTAAAAGTAAGAGAAAATCATAGCAAAAGCGGAGCAGCTGCACACCTGAGCCATTCTTGTAAGAAGTTCGGGGCTGGAACCCTCCGATAACGTGTGTTGTTCAGTAAATGATGAAAGTGAAGGAGGAAGGTTGAACCACATGTGATTACGAGGCTGAGAAGTGCGCTCTGAACATGATTAGTCGATTGAAACAATCTGAAGAATACAGCGTAATCAATGCATCGCATGTAGAGAGGAAAGAAAACATTTGTACAAAGGAAATAAATGCCAAACGAACCTCTTACCAGCAGTCTTGCCAGATTTCAGAATACTTCTAGGAGCTGGACGTTCCAACTTCTGCCTCTGGTGACTTGTATGTCCATTTTCGTAGAGATTCTGCATGAGCACCTGCACAAGCGCGCGGCCTGGGCGTGCATAAAATGTTCGCTATGTTGTTGATCGAGATGCCCCTAAAAGAGTCCTCTCTCCGCACCTATATGAAGCGCCACTTTAATTTTATCAAACGCACTTCGATCTAATTCCGTCATCTTCACTGGATCATAAAAGCTCGTTTGGCGGCAGGTGGACATTTATCGGACTGCAATATTGCTATTTAAGCAAATCATACGACTCATTTCTAATGTTCGTCCTTTGAAGTTTTGCAGTGATTCACGAAGAAAACCGATAACGAGAGCTGTCGTCAACTAAACAAAATATCCGCTTAATACCCTACCATGCATTAGGTGGAATAGACAACTGAAACAAAACGAATTCGAAAAAGAAGTAACGCAAAACTCAAATTACCCACCTCTACTACTTCATTGAATCGACGATGTTTAACAAGATAGCAATTCCAAGTAAACTCTCCAAATTATGTCGACTTGAGGAGAGCTGAACGCAAATATAAAGGCTCTCGAAATGAAATCAGGGAACAAAAATACTAGCGAAATACATTTCGGTCTATCTTCTGCGTTGACCGTTAGTGGACAAGGAATGTTCAATAGTTTCGGAAGATCCTTGCTGAGCTGTTGGAGGATTATCCATCGAATGTTATTGTTCAATTACCTGAAGAACATAAGATACACAAGACGCAAATGACAATGTTTCTGCGTTTGGAGGAAATGAGGCAAATCATGTCTCTATATCAACTTACCTGTCCTCCGCCGGCGCACCACATTTCGTACACATCCCGCGTGTCACTCCTACTCATGCATAAGAAGCCATGCATCTGATCCTTAATGTTATCGATGATGGAAGAGTCCTGGATATATAACAGCATCTTGAGTACATCACTCACTACACGAAGTATCAACATAACATCAACACACACACAAAATTAGTGACTACTGAATTGCACAAAAAACGAACCAGTAGCTGGTGGATAGCTGAGATCCTTCGGCATGCCAGAATGGCTCCTTGGCGCATTTCCGTAGCGTATCTGAAGCGAGCTTATCAATATTCAGTTGGCTGAGAAAATCCCAATTAGACAGACTAACACCAACGAAATAACATCGATGCTCTTAGAAGCTTTTGCTCTGCGCTCTTCATATGCACGTCAAGATCAGCACAAATAGTGACACAACAACTGAAAAAAATGTGACCACGAGAATTAAAAATGCGTACCACTTTATTACGACTTTATCAGAATACCAGCAAACCTGGTTAGGGAAGCTAGGAAGTGAGAAGTGGTAACACTTTTTCGAATCGGTGATAAGGAAAACCTGAAGGTTTACATTCAAAATAAGGACGAAGATAAAAAGTAAACTAGAATATTAGAAATGGAAAACAATCCAAGCGTTGTACCTCTAGAGCGGATGGGTAAAACAATTGTTCTCCATCACTAACATTACAGATGAAACGCGTAAGCAGGTTCGTATCGACGGCAACATCGTAGAAATGTTCAGTGAAATCTGTATTCTGTGAAACCAATCCTACGAAATAAAGAGGCGACAAAGAATCAAATACCGGGACAACCATCTTCACCACATGCTCCTCTGTGGAGAACTTTCTGAATAAGTAACAAATGACTGTAGTGTGTATCTTAGTCATGCATATTCCTTGCAAACTGATCGTTCGTGACAGTAAGGGTGTGGTTCACTAGGACAGAAAGCGACTTTTTCGCGTTTCGCAGCGCGAAACATTGTTCGTTGCGGGAATCTCGGGTCCACTGATGATTCGCTGCGGGAACCTCGGGTCCACTGATGATCAGCGGTGGACCTGAGGTTCCCGCAGCGGAAAATGTTTCGCGCTGCGAAACGCGAAAAAGTCGCTTTCTGTCCTAGTGAACCACACCCTAACAGTATAGTAGTATATCTAAGCGGGAATGCGACATCGCGCGGCAAGCAAGCGCTCCCACAACGAAAACAGCTAGTGGAAGAGGAGTGGTTGATGGATTCGATGAGACTCACGACAAAGGATCAGTTCGTCAGAGTTTGCTATGATATATAGAGTTACCTAGGCCGATGAGTGTGTAATTACCTCGTTCACCAATAATTTGAAGTGTTCTAGAATTCTAGAATACCACTTTAACGGCATCGCTCGGAATCGTGTAATTCACAAAACATTTCCATTGATGTGATTCACCGCATGTCTCAATACAATGAGTGTGAGCGTGGGCAAGCAATAAATCAGAAACTTACAAATTCACGCATGCGAAAAAAAGCTGCTCTTCATACCGTAGTTGTTTTCGCTGCGGGTGCGCCAGCCTGCCGCGCGATGTCGCGTTGCGAAGAGCGAAAAAGTCGCGTTCTGTCCTAAGTACCCACACCCCTAGAACAGAAAGCGACTTTTTCGCGTTTCGCAGCGCGAAACATTGTTCGTTGCGGGAATCTCGGGTCCACTGATGATTCGCTGCGGGAACCTCGGGTCCACTGATGATCAGCGGTGGACCTGAGGTTCCCGCAGCGAAAAAGCGTTTCGCGCCGCAAAACGCAGAAAAAGTCGCTCTCTGTTCTAGTGAATCATACCCCTCAAGAAAAAAGCAAATGGACACTGAAACAGAACGGGAAAGAACAAACAGAAATCTTGTAAGGAGAAATTACCTCAGCCCTTCCGAGTGGACGAACCTCTTTTGTTGAGATATAGCGTCTGGTCAACCGAGGACAGGCTGCCGATACAAAATGAAATACCTAAAGAACCGAAAGAACTGTCATCCTATCCGTGATTCAGCAATTTCATCAGCCTGAAATGTAAATAAATTAGTGGCGAAGTGGCGTTTCTAACCAAATTGAGGAAAGAACCTGAAAAAAAGATGAGGTTAGCGACGGTACTAGCAGCAGAGGTTCTGCAATTACGTACAAGACGGCAGGCACATCAAATTCTAAAGTTATGACTATATCATATAGCTGTTGAGTCAACCCCTTGATGGTCATTTTTCCTCTTTATCACTTTATTGAAACTTCAATTACCGTCTACTTAATACAAAACTCCGGTGCTGTTTGAGTCGAAGGGGAGAGGGGGGGAGAAGGGGCGGTCGGGGTGAAAGAGTACGGCAGCGTAGCAGTATGTTCGTCTGCTCCTCCACGGCTTAGTCCCAGAGGCGGTTACTTTTTGTCATTACGTTGCGGTGACGAAATACCTGCCATCGGCGACCTAGCCTTGGAGGAACAGTCAAACAGAGCGCCGCGCCGCTACA